GGGAAGCTCCTGGCTGGGCTGGGCGTGGGCGTCACTGAGTGTGGTGGTGGTGGGCGTGGGCGTGCGTGGGCGTGGCGGACCAGCGGGCTGCAACAGTCCTTGTCCATGTCTCTCCAGACTCTCGAGGGTCGTCGCCAAGCTCGCGCCTCTCATCTCAACTTCCAGAGCTCTGGCTCCAGCTCCTTGCGTTTCCAGCAACCCGCCTAGCCCAATCTCAGCCATGGGTTGGGTCAGGTTGGCAATATTCAGAGTTAATCTGCCCCCAATTCTCGCTCTGCCGGCTAAGCCATGGCCGAATTGGAAACCCCAAACCCCAAGCAAGACAACAGAGACGACGAGGGGGAGAAAAAAAAGTTGAGGACTGGAGAGGGAACAAACGTCAACCTGCAGCATCCCTTGATCCACCGGCACCAAGTTGCGAAAGATACATCGACCAACGCCGGGAACGCGCCGGGGCTTCAGGTACCGATCCCACACGGCGGGTATACGTACCCTGCCATGGCCCCTGCACCCAGGGGTTTCTGCCGTGCCGTTGCTGCTTGCTGGAATTTTTTCCAGATTTCGGCCAGCAAGGTGCTCATTTCTCCAATCAAAGCTCGTTCTTTGCAGCTCGGGAGATCCACCTGCAGCCTTCGGGACGTTATCGATAGGCAGCTGCGAATCAAGTCTGCGCCAAAGCTCCCTCTTCAGTGCTCTAGGCGTTGTTTCCCGCTTCCCATTCCTGCCGTCATTGGCGATGTCTTTCTGGGGAAATTTTGACCTCAACTCTTCGTCGTCGCCAGACCAAACAATATCCACCACACACAATCGAGTCCCAGATCAGCTCTGATTCTCCCTCGACCTCGTCTCGTGCCTCTCGCTGTGAGCCGTCATTCTTCAGCGACAGCTCCGAATCGGGACTGCTGCTAGATAATGCCGGCCCAGGCCAATAGCTCTGTGTGCGCAAGTATATCGAGATACATCGCGTGGATGGATCGGTCAGCACGCTTGCCACCACCGAACACCGACGGGCCTCTCCCAAGCAATGTCCGAAGGCGCTGCCAGAGAGCAAGGCAGAGACAGTTGCGCTCTCAGTCGCACATGGCTCACAGCACGACACACGTTACACACTGACGCCGCACCACCGACCGTTAGACACCGATCGTCACCGCCGTATAATTACACCCAGACCCGATCCGACGTCCACGAGTCGACATCTCCGACCCAGCCAGCACCCACCGGTCGTACAACCAGGCCCAGCGGCCAGCATGCCCGACCTGGCCATGCGCGCATCGCATTTTGTCTCCATTGGCATTTGGCATCCCGTCTTCATCGGCCCCGAGATCTCACCAGGCGGGCACTGGCCACTGGGCAGCAAGGCCCTCCAAGTTTCATCACAATCTCCATCAGCTACGCAGCACACCCCTCCAGTACAGTCCCGATCGCGCAGGCGGTCAGCCAAGTGTCGCCAGGGGTGCAAGCCTCAACAACCTAATCGTCTGCTCGCTTACGCACCTCTAAACCGCCTAGCCTCGCCGGTTCTCCGTCCGGGGACGACCATCGGCTTCCGCTAGTCCCTCAGCAGCAGTGAGCACATCCCAGGCTTTCACCTCGCTGGACGATGAAATTTGAACGTCGATCTCAAGCCCCAAAGCCAGCGGCCAACGGCAGGCCAGGTCAAGCGCACCATTAATTGGCTCAAGTGGCAGGAGCGAGTTCCAACTGCCCTGTCTGAACTGCTTGTCTCAGAGAGGCACTTTGAATGAACAGCGCCAAAAGTCTCTTTCCGCTGTTCAGTATCACAAAACTGCATTCCCCAGGTCCAATGTCTTGGGGAGGGGCTCCCATCGGCTTCGAACGGCTCCGTTGCAAGACAAGTGGAAGGGACCAGCCCGATAAGGGGCCAGGCTCAGTGGTGGTTGGTGCTTGGCTTTCAATAAAGCCAGGCTGAATTTTCTCATTTCATACAGATCCACGATGGCGATGGGCTTGTCCATCTCGCTCCCCCAACAATTGGGATTTTGGGACACAATTTGGGGGTCCTCTTCGATGGGTCCCTTCCAGAAATGCCAGGGGTGCATGCTGAGCCAATGGGAGGCGGACGAAAATAAACAGGCTCCCCCACTCGAAGGGGGGAAAAACACAGCACGCCGCAGAAAAAAAATCGCCAACCAGCGCCCGACCAAAAGCAGAGCTTCTCCACCCGCAGATCCCCAACATCTTGTCCGTCCTTCTGCGGGCGTGGAGACCGTGCAGCGCCGCCACGGCAGCAACAACATCGGCCACCCGGCCTGCCACTGACCCATCTGCAGCGGTGCAGCCAACGACGTGAGCCCGCCGAACCCATTGAGACTCGCTATGGCTGCGGACGAACGCCAACCGGCTCCAATGCCAGTTCCTGCTTCTCCCGCCCTCAACTTCAGTCCCTCAACCCTGTTTGCCTATCTCCCAACCCAACTTCGGATACAGAGTCTTCCGCGCTAATTAGCATGTCTTTCTGCAGCCTGGACGCACCCGTGTTACCTCTTGCCGCTGCGGCTACCACTACCGGTACTGCCGCTCCGAAGCCGAAACCTCCCTTCTCCCATCATCCTCCTCACGCCGAGGTCAACATCCCCGGCCAGTCCCTACAGACCGCCCACCAATTCCATAGCAACGCAACCGTCAGCTTCGTTGACACCACCGCCCGGACTTCCGTTCGTCCATATCCCACATATTATCAAAGTTTGTCCCCATCACACCCCAGATGGTTGTGACAACCAAACGCCCCAAAGCGAGAGAACCTCCGAGCTTTGGCCCCTAGGTCGTCCTGTCCTCGGCGCCTCGTATGGATAGAGGATGCTACGCTAGCTCCCTACAGAGATACGCCTACCCGCACTAAAAACGGGCGAGCAGATCCGATCCTGTCAAAGCTGGGGACCCTCTGCGCGCAATCTGATACTCCCACCTCAACTCGGCATCCACCGTCACCTTCGACAAACGACGGACGACACTCTTGATTGGATGATGCCTCCCCTTGAGTCTAGCTGGGACTAGCGACCATGGTGCGCTTTCTCGATTTCTATCCCCAAGAATAGCCAAGCTCTCACTCCATCTCGAACCTGTGACACCGGTCATTGCCGGTGAGGCGGCTTGCCTCTGCCTACCCAAGCAGCGGGATGGTTTGGACGTCAAGATCCACTCCCGATGGGTACATGACGGAAGGGAGGCTCCCCCATTTACAAATACGACGTCCTCCCCTGGCCATGATTCGGAGTCCAAAAGGTATTCGCCCCACTCCCTTGTGAACGAGCCGCATCGCCCCGTGCCTGCAGTAGAACGACTATCGACTGCATCGTGTCTCGAGCGGCTCCGAACGCCGGTCTTAGCTCACCCGTCCGAACTGATCTGCAGGTGCGTGCGTCCACGTAGTCAGCGCGCTGCTCCGAGACTGCAGCTGCACGACACATTGGCCAAACGAAATCGGCCTTCCAGATGGCATGGCGCCATGACAGGGGACGAAGTCGACACCTTGGGCCGTCAAGTCCCGAGGCTCAGATGGACTCGTTCGCGCTCACCTACGCACTCCGCAACTCATTTTTGTCTGATGAACGGCGTTCAGTCAAAGTAGGCATGAGACCTGAGGCTGCCTAGGTAGTTGTCTCGCACGAGCCTCGACTAGATGACCCGCTTGTTCTCGACTTGAAGTGACTTGGCCGAACATTGTCCCCTGTGGCTGGTGCAAGAGCCGCAATGAAGCAAACAAGCAGAACCGATGACGTGGATCCGGTTCCTGCATCCTGCCAAGTGCCGCATTTAGGGCGTAGCGGTTTTACATTCATATGCAGAGAACGTGTAGACCAGCCATCAGCAGTCCCTATTCTTAGACTGGGGTAGAAGCATCCGCCGAAGATCTCCCAGTGAATTCCGGCCGACTTTAATCCTGAGTATGTGACATTAGCTAAGTCCGTAAGAGGCTGATCATGACCATGGCTGTATCTCTTGTTGATCTTTACCGGGTCAATGATGAACATATCCTAGACAAGTATGATGTACACGTGGGCTTATAGCTCCTGAAAACCCGTTACTGGTACATACAGCAGGACCACGTACGAGGTGAGAATGTCTCCGAATCGATGTGGCTCAATGAGGCTGGAGCGGCAAGTTCCGGGGCATGTCGGGCATCATCGATCCTACGTCTTCCAACCTCACCCTGCTCATGAACGAATAGTAAATAGAGACTGCGATATTGCGTGGCTTTGAGCTTTGAATGATGTTAGTTGTCACTATTTATTACGATCTATGGCCATGCGTTATTGCATTAATATTTTACATCTCACTCTGATAGTTCTTTTGCTGTTCAAACGTAATTATTATTTGAACGCAACTTAAAAGCAATTTAAATAACTAATAGTTCACCTATACTAGACATGTACCATGTAAAGTTGTTGATATAGTAGAGACGCTGCAAATAGATATACTAACGTTAACGAGAGGTTTCTTATCTTGAAACCGGGAGACATGACGTGGAATGTAAAGTCTCAACTTCACTAGCCTCACTGATATGCTACGTCCATTAGATACGTGACCAGTGTGCTTTGAAACTCTCTGATAAGTGTGTATTCTGGTCACTCACTTAGCTGGATAGATTGTAGGAGTTGTTTAGAGTCGCATGCGTCTCTACCACAGCTCAGCAAGTCGTTGGAAAAGCTCGAAGGCCGTCGCGATCCCCATTATTCTAGCCACACTCCGAATGTGGGTGAAGATAGCGCGATATGTGTTGAAATGGCGTGTTATTACGGCTACATTTTCGGTTTCTGTGGCGATGATTGACCTGACCGAGAATGCTTGATGGCCTCATGAATCTGCTTTGGAGCTCAGTTTTTATCACCTAGCAAAGTTTTGAAACCTCATTCAGTAGTGTTGCTCCAAAACATCGACAAATGACATATTGGCACAACTTGAGCATTCCTGATGATCAAAGGTCTGGAGTCTCTAACGCGACCTTGTAGTTCACCTTCCAGGTTCTGCCTGCTCAAGGGTCAAGAGACCACACATCCCCTCCGTACATCTCTCAAGCTAATCTCTTCACCAAGACGGATGTCGTCGCTGCCGGGATCATCTCCGCGCCTCTCTCGCTGAATAGCATTCCAATTGTAGGCATACCCATCATCCTCCATCCTTCTCAACAAAGGCTCAAACCTCCCAAACATCTCCCTGCCGCCTTCCAGGTCCGTCGCAACGTACTCACATTCCTCCACGCTCTCAAAAAACACCCCGCCAAAGTCCCGGATAACCTCGCACTTCTCATTCATGCTCAGCACCATCTCCATCCGCCGATGCCACCCCTCAGGCGTCAAGGGAAATGTCCGCCGCGGCTCGTCCGACCTGCCCTCGCTGTTGACGACCACCACGGAGGGTATGTCCGGCGAGAACCGCAGAACCCAGACGCCGCCTGTCGAGGGGTACCCGACGTGCGTGTCGGGCGGGTGGTGGAAGTCGTACATCACCCCCTCGTCGTCGAGGCGCTTCCTGTGGAAGATGTAGGCTGCCCAGGAAGGCCACCAGGGCGCTCCGAGGGAGAGCATGCGCGTTGCGAGGGCGTCCTCGACGGCGGGGGTGGAGGTGCAGGTGTCGTGTGTGCGAGGGAGGTTGAGGTAGACCAGGTCCACGGCGGAGGGGTGGGATACTACGATGCCGCCTGTGCTGGGACGGACGACGAGGTAGCCTGCTCCGTTGAAGATTTTGGACCGCTTGGGAGGGGTTGGGGGTGTGTAGGAGGGTTCGTATGCGTCGTAGCATATTTCCATGTTGTTGGCGTTAGCGGGAGGTCATCCAAAGTCGGAGTTGCGTTGTCAAGGATGGAGAGCACCGATGAAGTGCCTGGTTCAGCCAGTAGTGTGTTGTGTGTGTGTTTTCGCGAGGCAACCTTTTGTTGGAGCTGCATACACAACGGCATGTTTGGTCACGTGGGATTATGTTTGGCTGCCTGTTGTTGCAGGGACAGGTGAACGCTATCAAGCCGTTGGCAGAAATCATGTCATCGCTTGCTCATCTCAATCTACCCTTTCTTTTGATAAACTCGGGATAGCTGCTTGTAATATGAAAAACTGGCACCAAAAAAATGGAAACACATCCAAAAAAGCACTGTGTCGCTTTTACAAAAGTTTGAAACCGCAGTCTTGGTCAACCACACACCAATCCAAACGCATGCTACTAGCATGGATATTGGCATTCAAATTGCCAGCGGGGGAGGCCTGCTCGATAGTGTCGAACCACTTCTTCTGAGCGTCGTGGTACCACTCAGGGTATGATGAATCCGGGTGTGGTGCCCTGGGCTTGAAGCTGTCTTCTACCGGGTCCTGCTCATCGTCGTCATCAGAGCAGTTCTCTCCATCGTCGGTGAAAGCGATTGCATCTGCTACGGAAGTGAAATTCAGCACAACGCCCTTCTCCTGATCCTCCAGCCAGGAGACGCCGATGGAGTCGGGACGGGGGCCAGGTTCCTGAATGTCGTGGATGTTTTGGTATATTTGTGGCAGAAATGGGTAGGCCCCGATCTGAGACTCGACGTACTTAGAGAGCGCGAAGCGTCCCAGATTATCGTCGTTGCGTTGTACAAAGTAGCCGGTAGGTTTGTCCCAGGCTATCGGTACGAAGCGAGCCATGATCTTGGCCCTCATTGAACCGTATGCTTTGTGTAGCGGCGTCAAATCCCAGTTTCCATCCGTGTTGACGAAGAAGTAACTAATTTTGAGGTCGCGAACCTTTGGATTCGGGGTACCTTGTACCGAATCCGCTGCAAGATCGAGGTGGAAGAGCTCGTGGAGGAATGTTGAAGCTGTTGTAGAACTATTTGTTAGCACAACTCTGGCAATCATGTTTCCATAGAAAATCAGTAGCGTCGCTTTACCGGGTTACAGAGAAGGGTAGGATATGAGATTGAAATTGACGGGGCATGTTGAAAAGGGGAGGGCTGCAATTGGAGTCGGACAGGCAAAAGGCCTCAAAAGAGTAGTAGAGGAAGAAATAAAGCACCCTCTGGTGTAGGCACCAAGTGACTTGCCTCGACTGATATAGTTCTCTGTATTGAACTTCTTATTCGGATCCGCACTATGTTTGAATTCATTTACCGCCTCGGTGAGTGATCGCATCTCAAAAAATGGGGGGCAGAAGTTGATCATTGGCCATTCCGCCTTTGGGTACAGCTTGGAAGGGTTCGATGAGTACGCCCTCATCGCTCCGCCCTCTCCGTCTTCGACACCTTCTGTCTTGGAACACTTAGATTTACAGCGTTTGCGCGGATCGTCGCAGCGGACCAGGATCCAGTTGGCAAAGGGCCGAGGGGCCCAGCCGTCGTAGACCGTGGCCACATTAGCAAAAACCGCCTGTATCTGCTTTTGTTGGTCCTTGTTCGTTGCTGAGACGGCTGTCAGTGATTATTCTGGGTCATTCATTGAGTCGAAGAGCCCTAGTATGCCAACAGCTATTGGGAAAGGAATTATGATCAAACCTCGGGCCCGAGATACTCCATAGCTGCGGCTGAGTCCCATCTGATATTTGATTTCACGCCGTCCAAATTGACAATCTTGTTCGCGTCTTTGTATGCCTGGACAATGGCAGCCCTGGAATCACCACATTTACTAAAGATCCCGCGTTAATTCAAGGACACATACTACCGTATCTCCATCACTGCTGCATGACACAGAATTCTGCTCGCGAGACGAGGCAAACATTGATTTCGGAGGGAAACATGTAATTGATAAAGGAACTCACTAAAAGCCATACAAACTGGTCCCGAACCAGTTCTGTACATTCGCAGGATCTCGGGGAGGTTCGGCGTCCCTTATCTCAGCCTCCGTTATATTTGGTGGCAGTTCCTGAACCGGATGATTGAGTGGTCTTGGTGACGGCATGATATCCTGTCTCCTGAGCAAAATTTCTGCAGTTACATCCTCAGAGGACGCAAAAGCTGGAGCAACATAGCCTAAGACAGACAAGATGGTAACTGAGTAAATCAAGAGCATGATGCCTGGGATCTCGCTCAATGGAACGACAGATGGATGGTTATATTTGATGAAATACAATGCAGAATAGGATGTGTGCTGAGAATTTAACTCAAGATGCTAGATATTTTTGAACTTTTATCCTCAGTGGGATACTATGGGCTGATTTTAACATTCCCCAAAGTCCAGTGTATTTTGATGCCAACATCTGGCAAAGATCATGTACCAACGGGCCCCCAAGCTAATCTCACCCAATTACAGCGTTGGGGCGTTAAAGACCATACCTCAGCGGCCAACTTTTTGAATATGCGGAGGGTGGGTATGGCGGTGTCAATCGATTTATGACGGCGTTTAATTCATGCCGCTCGAAATCAAGATGATAAGACTTGCTTAGTGGGGTTCCAACGAGGGTAATACAAGTCACCTTCGACGTTGCCGCTGTCATCGTATCTGGTGAAAAGTTGTTGGAACCAGGTGACTTCCAGTTCTAACCGGCCCCCTACGCTATTCTGCTCCCCGACCCCGAATGCATGATGCTCCTTACCGCGTCAAATAGTGGTGTCGAATCGGATTTAGACCTGGTTTATCTCAAAGAAGCTTAGATCCTGAGCACACCGACGCTCGTTGGTGTGCATGTGCGGCGCATTCTGGCCCCCTCAAGCTGCCATATCAGCAAGTCCAATAAGTTGTTTCGGTTGCCTCACCCACCAGCCATGATCGAAACACCGCCCCAAGCCCCCAAACCCCGAAATCCCTCACGGTAATTTCCTTCGTTCCTTGCCGCCATGATACTTCCAACTTTTCTGCAAGAGATGCTAAGCTCCCAGACGAAGATCAGCTCATAAGGCTGTTGGTTTACACTTGCGATCTATTTATAAACACCAGAAACGGCACCTTCGCATTCCGTTTGACAAATTTTCTTATTTCCTCGCCCTTGCAAGAGACCGAGTTATTTTTCTGGCGTCTGCCTGGAAGTTGAAGTGATCGCGTATTCCGGCCACGTGATTGATGACGCGCAGGCCTCCGAAGTGCTCTCCAACGCGCCCGACGTTGCCCTCACCTCCAACCCTCCTCTCGAACCACGACCACTACAAAACCATCCCCACCCATGTCAAACGTTCTTAGGAACATCATGGACGAAGACCTGGAGATATGCGACGATATCGCAGACCCGCAGTACCAGCACCCACAGCACGGCATGAGGTCGAACATATTCACCGGCGGCCCAGGATACCTCGTATCCCACCCTTCGCTCGGTGGCATCGTCATCTCGACCCCATCGTCCATAGATCTGCAGCACCTGAAACTACCTCGCACCCACGATACTAAATTTTCCTCCTCCTTCTCCAAAAGCGAAGAAGACGACCTCGCGCAGCGCATGCTCCGTCTCGGCGGCCACTGGTACCCCTCCTGGGCCACCTACGCACGCCACCAGGAACGTCTCGCCAACGGCACCGTCTACGACTTCCACATGCCCCCGGACGTATACGTCGGATACCCGTCCAGCGGGGGTGTGTGGGTGGCCAGGTACGTGCCGGACCGGGACCACTTCCGCCACGGCCAGAAATTCTGCCTTCCGCAGCGGCCACCGGAGTGGAACCGGGTCATGCATCGCGTGCTCACGATGGACGAGAAGTGTGACGCGTTAAAGGCGTTTGGGGCTACGTTCTATCCGCGGATAGAGGATTGCGCGGATCTCCCCAAGTCCGTGGAAGAGGGCCGGGAGGAGTTCCAGCGGTACGAGAAGAGTTTGGAGGATATGGACGACGGCGACTACCAAAGGCGATGGTACCTGAGATTTCATGGTCTCGACCAAGATGAAGACGTTGAATCGAGGACCACGGAACCTCGCAGCAAACGGGGCTGCGTGATGTTTTGATCCTCACAGAGTCACGATAATCAAACTCATCGGACCAGCAGGTCGGGGCATTAAAATCCAGTATATTCAGACCAGGTGTGGTAAAACGGAATGGGAGTGGGAATAAGTGTAAAGGCCCGCAAGCACAATAAACCCCGGCACCGCCATGCTCCCGTCCAAACTCATAATCATACCAACGCCCTAATGCATATATCCACGCCGGACCCCGGCCCCCGTAATCATCATAAACAAGAATGGTTTGGTTTGGTTTCGACAAAGGAAAAGTGGTTTGTAAACTGAAGACGACTTTCTTCTCTTCGTCGGTCTTCCATTCGAAAAGGATAGAATAATGGTAATGTTTGTGCGCCATCGCTGTGCTCGCACCGTTTCCCCGCCATGCTATGATGCACGACTCTAAAGGTAGTAGTAGTAATCAAAAACACGAGTTCCGCCTCCTGTGGTATCAATTCTGCTTCGCCTCGAGATGTTTAAGCAACGCTTTCAACTTCAGTACGTCTCCTCCTCCACCAGGTCCTGGGGTCCGATTCTCGAACTCCTCAGGCCCATGGAGCTTCGCCTGCCGGATACACTACCTCCGCTCTGGCGTCGGCTGCTTGGCATCGGAATGCCGCTCGTCGGCATGGGGATTCCACTGACGGAGCTGTCGGCCTCGAGGCGGGAATATGTGCCTCGCCTGCTGGGTGTGCGGTATTCGTCCTCGTCGTCTTCGGGCATTTCCATGCGGTGGTGGCTCACACTAATTGACCTTCCGTGTCCGCGAACGCTGCTCCTCAAAGAGTCTCCCAGGGAGCTCCGGGGGCGTCCCAGAGGTGTCCTAGTACCTGACATGCTGGTACGGCTAATAGGGCGAGGAGGTGCCATATCGGTGCGACTTGACGGCCGGGCGTATGATGTGCTGGCCCGCGAACTCGGTCGAGAGATTGACTCATCGTGGCCGGCGTTGGGATTCCGGTTGGGCAGGGGACCGAACGACAACCTGCTGACACCCGACGTACTAAGGCGGGGCACATGCTTTGATGTTGTGCTGGCAGAGAAGTTGGATGGCGTTTCGTCGCCCCGCACTGAAGAGGCGGTGGAGCCCGTTGGGCGCTTGCGAGAGCGGATCGTAACCGTCGAAGGCACACTGTGGACTCCATTGACTGAAGATCGGGGCGAAGCGCGGGGCGGCGTGGTGACGGGTGCGGGAAGCTTTGATCGAGCATTGTGGACACGAGCTTCCAGGCGTTGCATCTGCGCGGTGAGTGATCGGATGTGGCTGAGCGAGTTGGTTGTAGGCATGCGCTGAGAGGTTGAGCGGGGCGCCGTGCGAGTGGCAGGAGTGCGGGTGGTCGTGCTGGCACCGGAGACACGGCCGCCGGTAGGTCGGCTGCTCGTGACGGAGGCAGTGAAGGATCGGGGCTTCGGGGTGACGCTGTGCTCGACGGACGGCAGGCGGGAGACTTTGCGCGTCGTCGATGCGGGTGTCCTGGTAACTGTCCGTCTGGGTACGGATGCGGAGACGTCGGACATTGGAGGCGAGGGCGGTTCCATGAGCTCGGCCTTTGCGGCGGGCAGAGCCTCCGAGTCTGGTGGGGTTGTGACCATGGGGGAGCTCGCTGTCGAGTTGGGAGAGTGCTCCGTGTTCTTGTCGAATGTAGGCGACGACATGACGGAGAGGTCGGTGGAAATGTGGGACAGGTGGCGTGCCTCTTGCTTCTTGAGCTTGTCTTGGAGCAGCTCGGCTTCGATCTTGAGATCGGCAAGCTCCTCACGCAGACGTTGCGCCTCGATGCGCAGGGTCTCTCGCTCTTGCTCGCCCAGCTTGATTTCCTCCTCCATCATGACTGCACGCTCGATCGCAACGTTATATTTTGATTCAAGGTCCTCGAGGGACGACGTCGTGTTTCGCGCCTGTCGCTCGAAATCGTCATTGGCGACCTCAATGTCGCGCAGCTTTAGCTGCATGGTCCTGTTGGTATCGCGCAGTGTGGTAATCTCCTTCTCTAGCGTGTTTTGAGCCGAGTTTGCTTCCGTCTTGGCTTGCTTGTATTTCGTCTGCAAATCGGACCTCGTTAGCGCTGGCCGTCGCAATCGCATCCATCCCTAGATGCTGCAGGCGGGAGAAATCTCACCTTCCACTCCTCAACCTCGAACTTGAGGCTCTCAGCCTTCTCCTGCAGGCCGCGTTCCCTCTTCTCGGCAGCCTCAATGTCCTTCTCCAACTCTTGCTCCAGCTCCTTGCTGGATTCCCGGAACTCGGCGAGTTCTCCCTCGAGCACCTCGTACTGGGCCTTGTACCAGGCCAAGGCGTCCTCGGCGCTGGTCGCCTCGCTGGGCGGAGATGAAGGTGGCTCTGCCATGGTTGCTATCTGTCGCTACTGTGACGTCGTCGCCTCGGTGATCAGACGGATTGCATGTGAAGCTCGGCGATGGTGGTGTTTTGGGTTTTGTGTGTTTTTGTCGCAGGTCGTGCAAGGCGCGGGGAAAGTATGCGGTCGCAAACGGTAGCGGTTGAAGATATACAAAGGGAAATTGTAATGTTGTGTAGAATGATCGTAAGAGTCGTAAAATGCGTGCTGTGCGGTCGTCGTTAGCTTGGTGTTGATTGCGCAGATTGAGGGACGCGGTCGCAGCGAAAACGACGTGCGGTCGGAAGTGCGGACGTACCGACTGACTCTGTGGTTTGTTGTGGTGGCTGGTCGGCTGGGTCGTCGGAACAAGGCAGAGAAAAAGGACGATGGCCGAAGAAGAGGAGCAGCAGAATAGAATGCAGGTGTCGTCGGTGTGTGTCGATAGTCGCGGTGGCTGGCGTCGATGATGGTTGGTTGTGTGTGTGTGTTCGATGCGCCGCCTTCGGATGTATTGCGGTGGGCGAATCTCAAGGCTGCTGCTGCGACTGGACTTACCTGACTTACCGGTGGATTGTCGTCGCTGGTCGTTCGTTGGTCGTCGTGTTGTCGTCGTCGTCGGTAGTGAAATGCAGTTGTCGATGTTGACTTCGACAAAAACAAGTCAGGGACTGCGACGGACTGGACGGGACTACTAGACTGACTGACTACTGGACGCAGGACCGACTAAGGAGTGGTGGGATTGGGCATGGCTGGGACAGGAAAGGAATGGGTCAATGTTGATGTCGGTCAGGCGTGTGTGCGTGGTGTGTGTGGTGGTGCAGTGCGTTGCTGTTGCGGGTTGCCCCCTGTCGCCCCTTGTCGTGGCAGTGCGCCAGTCCCGATCGGGCAAGGCCTGCTACCACGGGCAACTGGACTCTTGGATTATGTAAGTCGTCCGCGAGCCAGTGAGAGCGGTGGGAGCGCTGCTGGAAGTGGGGGCGGTGCCTTTTTTTTGGATCGTCTGCAGCAGCGGCGAGCAACAACACACTGTGACTCTTTTGCCTGCAGGCTGCTTCCTGCAGTAAGGCACCTACCTGCTGCATATGCAAACGATACGTACCGCCGCACCCGCTCCTTCCCCATTCCAGTGTCCTTAACACATTTATATGTTCTTCCCCATGTTATTCTGTTAAGACAGCCGACCAGACACCTGGGGGAAGGAAGCCGCAAAGCCCAGAGCCCCTCCTTCGTCATTTGCTTCCCGCCGCAAGGCGCCTGCAGCTTCACTATTCACTCTTTCAACCACCTCGAATCCTCCCCTCCTGCCCCCAACACGTCAACATTTTCTGCCTCTCCAAAGCTACACCCGCTGGCGATCATGGAGACTGCGGTGGACCTGCAAGGCTTGTAACTTGAGAGGACCCCTCTTGTCCTGCCATGCGACATGCACAGCACCGCAGCCTCAGCCTTCCTCCCCATGAGAGATCCCCGTCCGGCCCGGTCAATCAAATTAGTCCAGTCGCAACACAGTCAAACAGCATCACAGCATCGTGTCTCACTCGTCCATCAAATCAGACCGCCTCCCACCGCCTACGCGTCTTTGTTTTCTTACCCTCTGCAAACGCGCAACGAACCATAACCGTGACTGAGCGCTGCAGAAGCCCCCCAACCAACCGCCGTAGATCTACCTGCCTAGCTGTACTAACAAAAAAGCTCCAATCCTATCCTCGGACGATGACGGTTGCAAGCAGGCCGCTCCCGGTCCGACTGAACCCTCAAATCAGGGCAATCCCAACTTTTGACCTTCATGCAAATGCACTGTTCCCTTGGAGCCCCTTTGCCATTTCACCAGAAACCCACGCCAGCAGCTTACCCACCGCCCGCGGCACCACCCTGCACGACATACCGTCTGCCACCGATGCGGCGCAGGTGCCGATTCGATCGGAGTAAAAAAGTGTCCCGAAATCTGCTTCTTTCTTGTTCGCAGATGGATGCAGAGAAGCTAAGAAAGATCAGACGTCCTGACGTTTGTTTCACATTCCACGCACTAAGGGACCCAACCAGTCCCTTCCGCATGACAATATCAAAAGTCTCATGCCCATGAACGGCACACCGCACCTTACTCATTCGCCCACCCACTCACCCAGCGAGCTTGGTAAATGTTAATGCAGCTGACCTGGCCTCGCCCAGCCTGCTAAATTAAGGGATTTTGATTCATCACCCTCGGGAGATCCTCCTCGCCTAGACAGGGGTTAGTGGTGGTGGATGTGTTCTTCCGGTCACGTCCGACCGCTGCGCTATGCTTCCGCTGCCAATTTCCGTCCGGCCCGCGATCGTCGCATCCGTCGCAGATACAACTGCCACCCCCTCCGTCTTCATGTCGCTTCCGGCGTAACCTCCGCCAAACGGGATCCAAGCCCGAGCTCGGGCGGACTGCCATTTTTACCTACGTCTTCGGCAGAACCCATGTCGCCCGCTCTCGACAATCTCGGCGCACCGATCGCAACCAAGATGCTGACCTGTTTTGTTTCTCACCGCCTGCCATGTCGATATTCTGCCGGTTGACGCAGGACGACCGCCATCGATACTCGGAATAGCAGCTCGTCAATCATGGCGTTGTGGCTAACAATATGTACGAAAGGTTCTACTAGTGGTGTACCCTCAAGCGGTATACCTGTCATACGAAACCAT